ACTTTTCTTTTTTTTGTGTAAAACAAAAAGACGTACATATTGGCCAAGAGTGGATTTATATTCTTCACTTTTCATTTATGCTCCTCATATGTTTCATTTTTCCAATTATTCTTTTATGGTGTTAATATTTTTTTATTTAATCGAAATGTTTCTGTAAGTAAATACGTGCAAGAACAAGGACAAACGGCGAAAAATGATAAACAGGCTTAGCCGCTCGCGCTAGCCGCGTACGCTATGCCTATGTCGAAAGAAAAAGACAGTAAACATATCTCTGTTCTCTTCTACCGCCCGAAGACGGCCGAAGCATCGAGCGCACACGTACACGGCTGCTCGCCTGTGTGCGTATCCCTTCCACTTGCTGCAGCGTGCTGTAAGAGAGTCAAAACTGGGCACATTGTATCAGGGTGAGTCAAGCAATTATCGTCTATATGATCCCAAATCAGATAAAATTATCATTTCTCGTGATGTTGTGTTTAATGAAGACACTATACCTCCACCATTTATTGACAAGCGTGAAAATACGACTCCTGAAATACCTATTTCAAGCGAACAAGAGACTATGGATGACTTTGACCATGGCGACAACCGTGGAGCATCAGATACTCAGGATGAGGAATCCGAAGAACTAGTAACAGCCTCAGAAGAGGAACATGAAGACCCACAACAAGAAAACAGAAGTCTACCCAACCAATTCTCAACATCAGCAAGACAACTGAGAGAAAGGAATCAAATCAGAAGACCCAAAAGGTACGAATCGAACTATATACACTATAACACACCTGACACGTTTCAGGAAGCAGTAACCGGACCCCGTGCGGACGAATGGTCCACAGCAATTGAAGATGAATTTGCAGCACACAGAAAAAATAGTTCCTGGACAGTTGTACCGAAGCCCACAAACGCACATCTCATAGATTCAAAGTGGGTGTTCAAGACAATCTGCGACACAGAAGGATCTATTACAAGATACAAGGCTCGACTGTGCGCACGAGGTTTTCAACAAAAATCTGGTACCGAATACACCAAAACCTTTGCACCTGTAGCCAGATACGACTCTCTCCGCACACTACTACTAGCTATTGCAACACACTTGGACATGGAAGTAACGCAATTCGACATCAAGACGGCGTTTCTATACGGAAAACTAGAAGAAACGATCTTCATGAAGATCCCAGAAGGCCTACACCTGGAGAAGAACGACGCCAATATCGACGTTGTATGCAAGTTAAACAAATCTTTGTACGGACTAAAACAGGCACCGCGTTGCTGGAACAAAACATTCCACTCATTCCTAAATAAATTCAATTTCATTGCGAGCGCAGCTGATAAGTGCATTTATATCGGGAACATAAACAACAATCGTGTATACTTGTTGCTATTTGTTGATGATGGTCTCTTAGTTAGTAAATCACGCGAATCAATTGACAAAATAATTAAAGTCCTAAAATAAACTTTCGAAATAACTCTAGGAGACGCCAGTTTATTTGTAGGACTGCACATAGAACGCAATCGTAAAGCAAGGACAATGTTTATACATCAAACTCAGTATACTCAGCGATAAATAGAAAAATTCAATATGTCCAACGCGAAACCAGTATGTGTACCAGCTGATCCCAACGCAAATCTAAGCTCGAGCGACACAAACGACACATCAATCATTGTACCATTTAGAGAAGCTGTAAGCTCATTAACATTTCTAGCTCAGGCCACTCGACCCGATATCTGTTTTGCTGTCAATCATGTCAGTAGGTACTGCAACAAACACGATAAAGTACACTGGACAGCTGTGAAAAGAATTTTCAAATACTTGATCGGAACCATAAATCATGGTCTACTGTATGAAAGCGGCGGGAGACAGTTAAATTTAAAACTCTACGGATACTCCGATGCAGACTTTGCAGGAGATCTGGACACGCGCAAGTTCACAACCGGATATGCTTTCTGCGTCAACAAAGCACTTGTCATGTGGTCGTCCCAGAGACAGAAAATTGTAACTCTCAGTACCACCGAAGCTGAATACGTAGCTGCTGCGACAGCCTACAAAGAAGCAATATGGCTCAGACAACTGCTCATAGATCTAGAACTCCTAACAGACAAACACGTCGACTTATCTGTAGATAATCAAAGTACGATACGTTTAATCCATAATCCTGAGTTCCATCAGAGAACCAAACACATTGATATAAGATTTCATTTTATAAGAGAAAAAGTAGAGAACAAGATTATTAAAATTAAATATGTTCCAACTAGTGAGCAATTGTCTGACATATTTACGAAGAGCCTACCTAAAAATCGTTTAATATATTTACGAACTAATCTAAACATATGCGATATAAAACAGTTAAACTGCGGGAGTGTTGAACATATTGTTTAACATGCTTTATGCGCACAAGCATCTGCGCATGCTACTCTGCTAATGCGCATGTCACCATGCTCCCGCCTGCGTCGGCCCGACATTTTGTTTTTCACACTGAACATGCTCGTTCAACACGTTCGTGCCGGCATTCTCTTCCCACTCGTCAGACCGTGCGCATCTACATATATTAC